CTTCAGCTGTGGTACCCACTCTTGGAACACCATCTCTTACTGATGTGTGGAAGGCCACTAGAAGACAATTCTGAAGATTTGGGGTGTATTAAAGGTGCCTTTAAGAGCGTATTTAATTCTGTGCTATTTTCTTCCAAGTGTGTGAACGTTTGTGCTTTGAGAGGAACTGTGATGTTGAATACTTCATCTGAAGGGTTTCCCATCTTAAGGCAGTAATACACGATATTCTGCTAGATCGACACCTGGAGAGTCGTGTCTGACACACACAAGGATCTTGGTTTGAGTTATGATATTCCCTTCTCTGTGTATCTGTTTTTCAATTAGGAAAAAAAAGAAAGCATTACAACAGACTAGGCCAATAAGAAAAAGCCTCAGTGTCACTTAATCTGCATCTTGCCACTTTGTTATCCTCTTAGTTCCCAGGCTATTTTATGTCTTGCAAAGCAGCTCTCTGTGCCCAGGTCCCGGAGTCTTCTGTGTATTAATTTGGAAGCAACAAACAAGTGTGTTTAGTCAGAAATAGTTTGGTGTTCAGTGGTTCGGTCTCTGGTTCTGACTCAGCCCTCACGCCATGAAGAGCTCTCTCTGCCACTGGGGACTGGGTTTTGTGTGGAGGATATTATGGTAAACAGTAAACAACCCCAAATTTCCATTAAAATGTTGGGAATATGGTATGCTTCTACTGCTGTGAACCAACGAGGATTGTACCAATAGGTGGGTAAAAATTAAAGTTTTAAAATATGTTGAAATATTTCGTTAATTCTGGTCATATAAAGAATTGTAATAAAAAGTGCCTGAAATGAAAACATGTTTTAAATTTTTTTTTCTAAGACAGGGGGTTATTCATGGCTTGCTACCTATGTAATATTTAAGAGCAGCATACATTTCATGGAAATGGCATGCAAATGAAGGATGCTTTTTTTTTTTTAGTGTTTATCACTATCATGCAACCTGTCAATCAGTGTGACAGCTGCTTTTAAATTAACTCATTTTTAGTAGATTTTACAGTTTCTCAGATGCGTATTTTTGCTGAAAACGTCTACCTCTTTCTTCTTTAGAGTATGAAGGCTGTAGCTTGAGGTGTACTTGACATTATCATTCCTCTGTTTATGCTTGTCTGTCTTAGAGTATCGAAGTAAGAAACTCTATTTATAATTTTACAGACCCGAAAGACAAATGATGAGGGAGACATAAAATAGCATATGGTAATAAACTGGTTAGTGTATGGTTAGATTTCACAGGTGCCTAATAATTCCATGTGATAAATGATGGTATCATGCATTTAATTGACAAAAATGAATTCTTAACTTGGCTTAGAAACTCAGTCTGTTCTGATTTTTGGACTATATTATATATATGATAGATTATTTTTAAGTAATCATGAATTTGATTATTTTGAAATATTGATTGAAAGCCCAGCTCACGCTTCTTGATGTGATATGAACAGACATTAGGAAGAAAAACGGCAAGTTAAAATCCTTTCTGTATATAAAACCTCTTTAGAATATGGCACTTTTTTCATACACATCAGTATGTTTGGATAATAAGTGCAGTCTGCTTTTATCATGCTTCATTTAAACTTCAATAACAAATATGATTATAGGCATATATCTTAAATTGCAAGAGATTTCTTTTAGTTTATGTTTATGGAGGAATAGATGGTGTACTACATATCCTGAGACTGATTTACAAGTTTATGTGCACAAAAAAAAAATTAAAAAAAAAAAATCACTTTGGAGAAATCAAATTATGTAACAGCTGGCTTTTCAACTGCAGAGTTAAACTTCTATGCGTGCTGTAATCCAATACATTTTTCTGTATTTTATGTAAGTAAAACTCTTGCAGTGGGCTACAATTCGTTGCTGCTATGAATGAAAAATATTCTTTTGTCACGTTTTTACTTGTATTTGGCCTAAGTTGTGTAAATCTAATCAGTCAGTCGAACCGCTGCTCGACAGAAATGCAGAGATAACCTTTGTTTTCTGAGATTAAAATAATAAAGTTAACATTGTGAAGTACAATGAGAAAATGGAGTACAGCTAGCTTCTATAGTTACTTGAGAAAGGTTCTCTGGGAAAATAAAGCAATCTTTCAGTTCCTAATTACTGAAGGTAAATAATGCACCCGCCAGTGAAAGCAAGTTTGTGCGGGTTAACTCTTCAGTGAAGACAAGGTGAGCTTCCTTTATGTTTTTTGGATATTCTTAGCCTTGCATCATTTCGAGAGTGATGTGCGACTAGCACATTTGTTACTCCTCCTTGTAACAAAGGTAGATTCAAAGGAAACAAAGTGATTTGCATGCTGATGCTCAAGACACTTAGCATAATGCTTTTGTATTTGCTAATTAGAGCAATAATGTGTATGTGCAATTCTTCTAAATGACAGGACAAACTTGCCCTTTATGTGCACTTGTTTAGGTAGTACAATAGTACTGTGATTTTTTTTTTTTCTTCGTGTACTTAAGGTTCTGTCTCATAAAGTGGCTTTTAGCTTTCATTTGTTGTTTTACTTTTTGTTTATTTCTATTCTTGGCACTCCATGAGTATACTTTTCCTTGTCTTTCCTGCAGAATACTGGTACTCTAGTCCTAATGTCCTATCTTGTGAGTTCTTTATCAGTACTGTAGCACCCTGATACCTGTAGAGGCAACAAGACTGAGGGAGAAAGTGTATTTTATGTGGTAGGCTTTCTCTCACCTGTTGATACGCTGCCTGTTGTGGGACAGGTATGTCATTAAATCTATCGAGACATCCCTGTATTTTTTGGAACATACTAGGTGCAGTTCTACATCACTTGACTGTTAGGATCGTGCAGCTGCGTACGTCTGTGGCAGTCCTAAGCACCTATGATATTCCTACATGCTGATCTTCAAAGCAATAACTACTCAATTCCTCTTTCTTGATTTCTTGTAGAATAACAGTCCTTTATATATTTAAATTACTGTTGCCATATGTATCAGGGACAGACTTTTTAGTAGTGTCTGTAGCAGTAGGACCAAGAGGTAATGGTTTTAAACTAGAAGAGGGTAGATTCAGCCTAGATGTAAGGAAAAAATGTTTTCTGATGGGGGTGGTGAAACCCTGGAACAGGTTGCCCACAGAGGCTGTAGATGCTCCATCCCTGGAAACATTTAAGGCCAGGTTGGACGGGGCTTTGGGCAGCCTGGGCTAGGGAAAGGTGTCCATGCCCGGGGCAGGGGAGTGGGACTGGATGATCTTTAAGGTCACTCCTAAGCCAACCCATTCTATGATTGCAACACATCCAGGAGCCAGGAGATGGTAAGCCAGATTAAGGGAATTGATCCATCTAGGAAGGAGGGGAAGAGGAGAAAGGAAATCAGTTTAGTTTTGATTTTTGGATCGGTTTTGCTACCTCACTTACTGTGTAAGTGCACAGTAGCTGATGGTGATGGAAGGGAGGATGCTGCAGCACGTGCAGGGGGTTAAGGGGGAAGGTGAGCTTCCTCTGCTCAGCCTGAAGCTGTGTTAGCTTAACGTCACCCCACAACTGCAGCTCTCGTGTGGGAGCTCTGCGTGCTCGTGTACGGTCTGTCTGGTGATGTGTTGAATGTACAGAGCAAAAGGAGGACCTGTCTTCACTGGGGTTGCTTTGCTAGGTCAGCTGTCTGAAGTGTTTTACAGGAAGATGCGAACCCCTTCCACTCCTCCAACTCTACTTCAGATATTATTCTTTTGTTAAAATTTTCCCAAGCGTTCTGCTGATGAGGGGAAGGGTGCTGTGTATGTTTTGATGCCTTAGACGATGTGCCCGCTGGGTAGTTACAACTAGTTCATGCTTATGGTAGGTTACTTAAGTTACTATTCTGATTAAATCCCTACTCCTAATGACAGAAATAGGAGAAGAAGTGGAAAGAATTTCAGTTTGACATGTAACTTTTTTTTGAATCGTTTCTGTTCTTAAGCCTTACAGGATTATTATTGTTTCTGTAGGCTAAACCAGGCCAAATAGCTCAAGTTAAACCTATTAGAAAGCTGGCGTGGATTTAAAGACTCAGAACCATCTGGGAATGGGATCACACATAGTGGTTCTTAATATAGACAGCTTTGTCATTACCTATCTATCTGAGAACCAATTAATTTGCACTGACCTAAAGCAGTGTTGTGACACACTTGCATGTGTAAAAAGGCTAAAAATATTGTTGAGCAGAGACGTAATATTTTTATATGTATTTAATTTCAAGGATAAAATGTAAGGAGACCAGCATTTGTATAGAATGTTTTGAAAGAAAACACAAGTTGTTCCTCTGGCTATTTTTATACTTTTATATTTTACTCACTGTAGGTTTTAGGGTTTGGGTTTTTTCTGCTTTTTTAAATTACCTTGTGAGTTCCTCTGTATAAAGTGTTTTCTAGGTTTGTATAATCACTCCCCGATGTTGACTGGGTTTCTAAGTACATCTATTGTATAAATAATAAAGTGAAACAAACTTTTTTATATTTGGAAAAATTAACGCAGACATACAGCGTTTAAATGTCACATTAAAATTTATCCATATTACTGTGTAAGAAGGCTAAAAATTCTTTTTTTTTTTTTTTTTTCTTCTCCATGAGAATTCTGGGATTGGTTTTTAAATGTTACTGTGTGTCCTTTTAGGGGATTTAAATATCAGATATTTTGGGAAAATAAGATATCGCACATGTAATCTACCTGTTCGGTTCATGAAGAAGAAATACGTGAAAATGTTGGAGCCTTTAGGAGTGGGAAAAGTTATTTTTTGTGTTTCTAAACACTTGTGATGATGTGTTGTTGATGTGGAACTCCTAGATGGTGAATAGATGAGATGATTCGGTAGATAAAGTGAAAATCATACATTTATTTCTCTGCTGCTCATACGTTTATTTTTTTATATGAAAGAGTCAGGCATAAAAAAATGATTATAATCTCTTTTTGTGACATAATGCTACATTTTTATTTGATACTGAATTCTAATATGGTATAGATTTTATCAAAATTCTATTTTATTTTTGTTGATTATACAGTGGAAGAATCTGACATCATCGATCTTGAAAAACGATACTGGCTGCTAAAAGCTCAATCAAGAACTGGACGTTTTGATTTAGAAACATTTGCCCCCTTAGTTTCCCCTCCTATTCATCCATCTCTGAGTGAAGGTACGGAACTTGGATCAAACGTGCAAGGAAATGATGTGCTGTGGTGTTCAGTGCCTGATAATTTGTTGATGTGCAAATTTTATAGCTTTAAAAGTGGGCCTATTGGAAAATATATTTTAAACTTAAATTACAGAGGTTCATTCCACTGAGGTCTGAATGGTTGAGAATGAGAAAAGATGCTTGAGAAATCTCTATTTGTTGGGAAATCTGGAATGATGAAGGAAATGATGCTTTTGTGTGGCGCATTTCTATTAGTTGTCTGGAAATGCATTAAACTTTATCTATAATTTGCCCTGTATTGCTTAAAAATTTGATTGGGTTCCTTAAGATTCCGTGATGGCAAAATACACTGCTGCCCCTGAATGAGATAAGAGCAGACCATTTTTAAACTGACAAACATGAGTTTTATCTATTAAAGCATGCTGAATTGTCCAAGTCAGAAGTTGCGTCATGCAGGCAATGGAAGAGTCTTCCCTTCTAGTGCAAGTTAAGGAAGATTTTGTTCAGAAGGCTTGGTCAGGAGGTTTGCATGGCGCAGTGCAGACATGTTAATAACCAAGCTGGTCTTTCAAGTCGAAGCCACTCTGGTAATAACTGGAGGTTGCAATTGTCTAATTGCCATTTACTGCACAACATAAAGACAGTAAATAACATCCCGCTTACATGCTAGTCTTTGTCTGCAGTCCTAAAGTGACAATTTTTTATCACCAAATGACCAGCTTTACTGACCAGTGGCAGTGGTAAGAAGATGGGATATTCTTCTGCAGCGAGTGCAAGCTGTTAAAACACCAGAACTTATGTTCGGTTCAATAGGGATATTAAATAGTGAACTTTATCTACTTAGTGCTATAAATTTATACAGCTGCTGCGGGGAAACTTGAATGGGTTTTGGTCATTCTGTGTGTCTTCTGTGAGTAGGGCAACTGAGTCGCCACTAGAAAAAAAAAATAATAATCATGGGATTAAAAAAAAAAGTTATATGCACTGAATGAATAGAAGTCTTAAATCCTTTGAAGGCTGGTAACTAAAGTTCCTGACTCTCTTAGGGCCAAACTTACAATGGTTTTCAGTGATTTTCAAGAGAGTTTCTATCAGGCACTTTGGAAAAGCCAAAGCATTTGGCATCTGAGTACCATTACTATTTTTTCCTTTGGCTTTTGTGAAAGTGCTTGTCCTGACCGTCCTGGCTCAGCTGTACCCTCTATAAATCAGGCATTACAAGGAAGGTGTGAGAATAAGGCTGCTGTTCAGAAATCTTGATTCCTTCCCCATCCCCAGTGTTGTCTAGCCATACCCGAGTGATCTAATTCACCTTTAAAATGGTCTTGAAGTCATCAATTATCTTTATTACACTTCGTAAGAATTAGTTATCATCATAAGTGTTTGTACTTCTCCTTGAAAATGTTAACCGTTCACCCTTCATGTAAATGCTCAGTCAGATTGTCAGCTCCTCCAGCCAGATGCTGTAACAGGAGATGCTTTTGTGATTTGCAGGTTTGTTTAATGCTTTTGATGAAAACCGAGACAATCACATAGATTTTAAAGAAATTTCCTGTGGGCTCTCAGCATGTTGCAGGGGACCCTTGGCAGAAAGACAGAAGTGTAAGTATGAGAAATGTTAATCATTAATTTTAGAGAAGCTTTTCAGTTTGAGCAATGAAGTTGAGTTGTTTCCATCTTTTTAGAAATTTTTCTACCGAACAAGTGTATGTCTGAGAGGTGACAGACATCAGAAGTGTAAAAATTAGAGGAATTTTAGATATCAAGGCTTCCATTTATAAAGGATGATTAAACCTAATTCTGTATTTTTTATAACTTTTCCATAGCTTCATATAAATTGTCAACCTGTTTGGCGGAAAAAAAACAAAAAACAAAAACCCCAAAACATTTCAGAAGTTATTTTGCAGTGTCGTGCATTATGATGCAGAAATGTGTGTATCTCAATATAGAAAGTGCAAACACCTGTTCATTATATATAATATAAAATGAAAACCTCTTTGATTGACTTGTGGTAAATAGTGTGTTCTGCTTTGTTTATTGTCCAGCTTTCAGCTGTCTCCCTGCAAGGTTCTTGTGTTTTGAAATAACCTTTGTTCCATACTTCTCCAAAGCCATATTGCTGCAACGTAAAAGCTATCATTCACTGGAAATTTCTGGATGCACATATGCTCCCTGCTCTGTCACATCGGAAAACACGGCACAGAATTGCAGGAATCTAGATTTCAGTTTATGAAACACAGCTGCTCCATTTCCTCACTACAACACATGCATCCTGCCTCATCAAAACTGTCAGCACTAAATCATGTTCTCGTGACTCTGCAGACTTACATTCTGCAAGGAAAAAGAAAAAAAAAAAACCCAAACGTTGAGTGGTTCTGACACAGAAAAGTAATTTTTTGTTTTTCTCAGTTTGCTTCAAGGTTTTTGACATTGACCGGGATGGTGTGTTGTCTCGCACTGAACTCAAAGAAATGGTGGTTGCACTTTTAGAGGTCTGGAAAGATAACCGTACTGATAAAATATCTGTAAGTTATATTTGGGGTTTTTTTATTCATTTCTGTCTGTTTCATACAGTCATACTTCAAAAGTAGGAATGTGGCTGTTGTTTGAGCATGGTTTCAGTGAAACACAGGCTTCCTTGAACTACCGTAGTAGGAGTATTGATACCTGGATGTAACAACTTACATAACTCTGGCCATTAACCAGAGCAGAATGATTTGACTATAATTCATGCTGTTTGAGATAAAGAAACCTTAAGTACAAAAGTACAACTGTCTGGAAGCACTCAGCTGGAATTACATAGAAGCATCATCAACATTTCTTACAGTTATATTTTCATTCTGAACACACGGATCCAGAGTGCTGCGAGAATTTCACTCTTGTTTTCTAATCCTTTTGTTTGTTAAGGAATTGGACATGGGTTTGTCTGAAATTGTAGAAGATATCTTGAATATGCATGATACCACAAAGGTAGGAATTTTTATACCCTGGTATCTTCGGTTTATTTATAAGAAAGTAAATAAAATCTCATGTTTCCTTTAAAGCAGAGATGTGTCAATAAAATAATCTCTTTCAAGAAATGTCAGTTTTCCATTAAAATTTTCCACGTTGTTACGTGAGAGAAAGAACATATTTGAATTTTATAAGCCATTTTTATATATGAAACTAAACCAAAAATACATAACCAGATGAAATTAATTGGAAGCCTATATTGTTTGCAAGGCTTTGCTGTGCATAATTAATAGCAGCGTTAAATCTGATGCCTGACTTGCTCTGGAGAAACTGTTCTTTTGTTTCATGGTAAAAATGATCTTGTGAAAAAAGGGGCAGTGCATGAATATATTTTACGCTACGTAAAGACACGTTATCCTCCTGTGCTGGAACAGAACTGTATTAATTCCGTAGTGACTTCTGCATTATCATTATCAAACTTCTTTGCAATAATATATATATACAACCGGTGAACTATATACGACGATATTGTTTCAGAGCTAAGTATGCATAAAACTATGGAGGCATCTGTCCTGACTGTCGTGACACGCGGCGAGGAGCCTTCGTTTATATTGTGCTTTATAGTTAGCTGTAAATCTTTAATTATGTTCTTGCTTTTTCAAGATAGGTGCTGTCATCTGCAAACAATATAGGGGACGTTGTTTCCGTTATTTCATCCTTTGCTTCGCTAATTAAGAGGAGTGTCTGGAAACTATAAATAATTTAAGAAAAAGCTATAAAGAATGTCTAGAAATGCTTAATTATTTGTTTGAATAGTTGTCTTGCCTGCTTGTACTTCAACAGAGTGGCGGGCAAATATTTTATTATAATTCTTTCATTAGCAAAGCAGTAGAGAATACAGCCTCAGTGAGCTCTTTCTTTCATCCTTTGAGGTTTTTATTCTTTGCTTTTTTAAAAAGGGTAGTTTACAAGCAAGCATATAGCAGCCTCGTTTCCACAAAGAGGCAAAAAAGAAAATTCATTTCAATGTAGTGCTGGAAAGAGCCGATGATGCAGTAATTACATAAATTACTTCACCTTTTTGTTAGCTTTGACCTGTGTGAACTTTGGAGAAAATGGTTTGTAAGAAGAGGCAGAGTAACTGCCACTGCTGTATAAAACGGCTATGAATTATATTAAAATACAAATACAAAACATTGTTCTTGACACTGAATTGTTGAAAATCAGAAGGTCCTCTGACATTGGTCAGTGTTATGCTACTATAACTTTGCAAGTGATTAAGAATTAATAGGAATCGTGTTGTAAGGTGAGATCATAAAGACTCGATGATCCAAAATATTTTTTTCTCAACCCACAGAGGAGGATGGTGGGTTTCTGAATGGATGCAAGTATCTACATGTGCAGAACTTATTTGGATGATCAGAGTCTTAGATTGTCTTTGTCTTGTTTTATTTCCTACAAAGTGATTGCCCTGAGTAGTCATGTACTGCTTCTGCTGGTTTCATGGTTTGAGAAAGTACCACTACTGCACTTGGGCGTGAGTGCTAAACCTGAATGATGGAGGGCAGGAGAAAAGCTTACGTGTTCGGCCTCTGTACACTTTTTGATTCTCTGCGTTTCATATGTTATGCTAAAACTGGATTTTTCTTCTTTCACTGGATCAAATTTTATTATCAGAGTGGTAGTTGCTGATTTTTATCAAATCACTGGCTTTGTCATGTCTTGTATGACACGTGTAATGAGCATTTTAATAAAAATAGGTTAATGGTTTGATGGGTTTTCCTTCCCCTTTCCTTTTCCTCCCTTTAAGCTTGGACACCTCACCCTGGAGGACTACCAGATATGGAGTGTGAAGAGTGCACTTGCCAATGAATTTTTAAATCTACTTTTTCAGGTATGTTTAGAGGAAATTTAAATTTGAACATGATGGTAATTAACTCACGAGCTTTTTCTGTGTCCACAAAAGTGCAGCATCAGTGTTGGGCCAACATGCTTACAGTTTTGCCTGTTGCAATAAGTTATGTGGTTTTGCAGTTGGGCACTACCTCGATGGAATGATTCCCTACTTGATTATTATTCTTTTCAGTGTACGGAGATGCCTAAAGCATAATTTATTAAAGTGAAGGTAATGTACTGTTTACAAAATGAAATTTCAAGTGTATCGGCAGTTACATTTTCAATTAGAAAAATGCTGTGTTCTTAAACTGTTGTTCTTGCAAATCTTTGCCAAGAAGGTGGCGCAGGAAATGAGAAAAAGTACTGCTAACTCTTTACAACCACTTTCCCTTCACATTTTGTTAAAGCTGTCTAAGGAACCTTTCACTGCTTTCTTAATGAAGCAGTCCTTGAGAGCCGTGGTATCATATCACTATTGTGTTGCACAAGCTGAGGATTAAGAGTGTACTGAATTTGTTTTTAATTGAGCTTGAATTGGATTTTTATAAATCCTTAAACCAGTCATATTTTAGCATTGCTTCACTTTGTGCAGAAAAATAACCCTCTAAGAGTATTTTCATTCACTGCAGTTTGTTCCATACCCATTTTCTGTAGAGGTTAATACTTTGAATTTATATAATAATAATCCTAATGGAGCCTTGAAGATTTGCCCTAATTTAGTATTCACCTCCAGCCCCTTATGACAGTCTTGGCTCTTCTGGGGAGGGCCGGGGAGAACCAGTGGGCTCCCTTCTCATCTTACCAGTGAAGCTTCATCAGTTACAGGGTCAGGTTGTAGCAGAAAAATATTTCATCAGAGAGAAGCTGCGTGGGATTTTTTTTTTAATAAATAATTGTTGCGAGAGGCTACCTTAGTAGCATACTAGAGCTTCTCCTGTTTCTGATCCTAGACTGCTTTATAAATTGTATTTTGAACTCTGCTTTTTCAAGGACTCTGGGGTGACTGAGTGAGAGTATTCTGAGGCCATCAGCTACACTGCAGCTGAAAAGAATAAAATCACAAAGTTCTACAAATTTTTTTTTTAATCTCTAATTGCATCAGGTTTTGCTTACATTGCAACCTTTTCAAGAAGGCCTGTCTTTACTTCTGGACTGTCTGCCATCAAGTATCCTGTCATAATTTAATATTGACAAACTAACAAAATATCTCTGCAGTATTGAGGGAGAATGAACGAACATTTAATCCATTTGTACACATCACCATTTTTACACATCGCTTCTCGGAGGACTCAAAATATTTTTTTTGTCCTGACAGAGCTGCTACATTTTCATTTTAGTTTTTTAGTTTTATTCCCGTGGATAACTTTATCGTGACACACCCTCATCTCATGCTTCAGGCTCAACAGCATGCTCGCGCAGGACAGAGTCTGCCATTAATTTGCCTGAGCATTTGAACTGTCATGAGCTTGTGTGTCTCATCTGCAAGCAGAAAAGCTAAGTAGTCTGAGTGGAGCGCCTTGGGAAGCTTGTCAACAAATTGGTTTGTTTGCGGCGGGGTTAGTTTATATGACGAATCTGATACTAGCACAGTATTACATGAGTTTAGAAAGAGACATCAGAGCCAGCTGTGTTGTGTGTGCTGGAAAATCTGTTGCTTCCCAGCAGCTAATGGCCTTTGTTTTATTCAGAATGTGAAATGGTCTCTCTCACACTGTAATATAAATTTAAATAAGATATCTCACCAGTCATTAGAAATCTCCAGCTGAGATGCAAATTGATAGCCTCAAAAGAGACATAAGGAAAAGACGATAAATCATGTTATGAGTAGCAACCAATTTGAAAACCATCTTGGAAAGGAGACAGCTGACCCTCCTCCCTGCACTGGGAAACAAAAGACCCCTGCAGAGTGTGCTCCCCTCTGCTCTCGCTCCGGCCGCAGGCCCTGGGGCTGGGGAGCTGCTGGGAGAAACCAGCCAGACCCCACCACAGCCTAGAGAGGAGTCAAATATTGGCCATCAGAACAAAACCCCACCCAAACCGGGCAGCCGTCTAGGGGATGGGGCCTTTTTCATCTGTGCTTGTTTCAAAACCAACAACAAAAATGCAGCAAATAGCATCAGTCGCTCAGATGATGTCCTACGATTCTGAGTGTTTCCAGTGGTGACTGGTCGGTTGGACTGCTCTAAACTTCTCCCTCAGTCTCTTCATGTGCTTGTTTTCCTTTCAGTCCCTTATTTTTTTCCTTTTTGTTTTCCTTCAGTCCCCTCATTTTTTCCCTTTCCATTTTTTTTTTCCTTAACCTTTAGCTTATCCTCTTCCAACAGCCTGCATTCTCCCAGTTCCTCGTTCCCTCCCTCCAGTACATACAGACATCATAACTTTTTGTATATCCCCCATGTGACAGTTACTCTGATCTTTCATAGTGTGTGCTTCAGATCGGAAAATACTGAAAATTCATTTTCTGTTCACCTTAATTTGTCTCGGGGCATTTGACATTCTTGGTAGCTTTGTCTTTACAGCAGGAACAGTTTGTGAATCTCATACTCATAGCTCAAAAAGACTTCTTTAGTGAGTGATTTGTTCAATTTTAGGTAATCTTGCTACATAATTTAAAAGCATTTTCTGAAAAGTCCCATTAGAGTTGTTCTTTTCTTTCGTTTCCCTAATGCTTGTTTCACAGTGATAAAACTCTTGACAAGGATGACTTTTCTTTTTCCAGGTGTGTCATATAGTTTTGGGGCTACGACCTGCCACTCCAGAAGAGGAGGGACAGATCATTAGGTGGGTGCTTTGTTCCGAGTCTTAAACGGGTTTCAGAATCACCTTTGAATATCTTCAGAAGGACTGTAATTTTCCCGTTCCAACTAGTACTTCATGTTGTTCATTCTTTATGTGCAGAGGCTGGTTAGAAAGAGAAAGCAGGTATGGCCTTCAGCCAGGGCACAACTGGTTTCTTATTGCAATGCCATGGTGGCACCAGTGGAAGGAATATGTCAAATACGTAAGTATAACAACAACAGCGTGTACTCAACAAGTGATTTCTTTGTAATTGTGAATGTGCTGATGAAAAAAAGAGTGTGGAGCAATTGACTGCTCAACCAATAACGCTTGAAATTCAGCATCTCCTGTCTCTTAGTGGAAAATAATTGTTTTGCTGAATCATCATCGCATGGTGAGCTTTTCACTATAATTTAATTAAGCTGTCCTTTCTTTCTGTGCTTTCTTTCATCATTCCTGCACGTCAAAATAATTTTTTTAATAAAAACATACTTTCACAATAGTACTTCCCTTAAGTCTTCTGATCCATTTGATAATAAAGCTACCTGCTTTGGTTTTGACTTTGCTTGGGCCGCAAATACTGTGCGTTTTCTGGGCAGATAAATGAAGGAATTGGTATAATTTGATTTATAGGCAGTGATGAAACATAGTTCAGTACCTCATGGTAATCAAAGGAGTCCTTCTAAAACCTTATAGTTACAGGGTGCTCTTTAATCCTGTTCAACTAAACTATTCAAGTTAAAACATCACTATGAATTTTACAAAACAAAGCATATTTAATAAAATTAAATTTGAGATGGGGATATTCTTTGCACATTACACAAGTGAAATAAACTATTTCTCAAAAGAGTTTTGTATAGCGATAAGCAATCATATAAGTATTTGAGTTGGTTTATAAATATAAATAACTAAAAATTTGCATAAAACTGCAAAGTATGCATTAATTAACCATGTCATTAGTTATTCTTTGTGCACAATGAATTGGACAAATGATGGCTTCAAAGAAACACTAGGTAATTTGATTCTTGATGTAATAGATGTGCACATGATTTCATACCTGATCCTTCGCATAGTAGCACAATGCTCTTAGTCACTCTGTCTGCCTCTCGAGCAAAGAGAACACTCCGATTTTCAGTGAAACTCTATAAATGATTACTGTAATTCCAACATGTATTTTAGTCTTATTTTTGTACTTTTAGCTGCACTGTACAGATTTGTTATTTGACAAGACACTGTGTTTAGTGATGGGATAAATAGGAGACAACATAAAACAGGCAACACCCCTTTTTTTCCAGTGTGTTACTATGATGCTCACCCCGTTTTTTTTTTTTTTTTTTTTTGTTTTCTCATTTATTGCCATTTATTGTTGTGACTGGTGCTGTAAATTGGGTAGGATTCTTCTTACATCTTGCCTGTACCGGGCAGGCAAGATACGCTTTTCAGGGGGATGCAGATTTTTTTTTTTTTTCACCTTTCTCTTGCCCAAATGTGAGTCAGATTGGATTTGGAATGCTCTTTCTTCAAAGGAAACAAAGGAACTTTGTTTCAAAACAAAGTTAGGGAAGGCTAAAATGCTGCAGGTTTGAGGAAAGAATTATTTTTTTCTTCTGCTTGTTGTTCTCATTTAACCATATGAAATTCAGCAAGGACAAATCTTCAAATATTTATAATTATAGCTGTCTAAATGGTTGTCTTTTTATATATCTAGGTAGAGAAAATAATCCCGGTATTTCACAGTTTTTACAGTGTGAAGAAGAGTCCATTTGACTGGTTTAACACTTTTGGCTGTTTGTTTCTGCAGATTTTTTTGTCAGTAGATGTAGAAAATATTTCCCGATGAAGCTCATTGTGATTATGCAAAAGTGGTCATACAGCTGTGAAATTTGCTGATTGGTTTGGCTGATGCTAAACATCTCTGATTGGCTTGTAATTGACTTTTTTACTTGCCTACCAATTTTAGGACGCAAACCCTGTTGTGATAGAACCTTCATCTGTCTTGAGTGGAGGTAAGAATTCACTCGTAGCTGCTGCAGCCAATACTTCAGAACAGGGAGAAGACAAAATGGGAGGTCTTAATTACTTCAGTGCAACAGAAGAAAAGTTTTCAGATAATATTTCTACTGCATCAGAAGCCTCAGAGACTACTAGCAGCAGTAAGCATAACATCTTATTTCCTTGGAGGTTTAATGTAGAACAGGTTTTGAGAAAACTACATACTGCATGGAGTCCTCCAGGCAAAAAGATAACACAGTTGAGAGTGCAGAAGTGGCCTACATGTGGACGCTGGTGAATTACTAGAATTTTTTAGTCTGTGGTGAATAAACAAGAAGGAGTCTTGTTTAAACAGTAATTCATCTTTTATGCTATGATTAGTTTCCAGAATTGTTTTCAAGATATTGTCCTATTGTTTGTTTTCTGTGTGGATTTTTTTCCCTCTCTTCACATTAAGTTGTTCCTAACTCAGACCTAGTTGGTATTGCACTATGTTTTGCAAGGAGATGACCTCAGATACTACAAAAAGGAAAGAAGCTGAAAAAAAATTAGGAAGAGCATACTTACAGTTTTACAGGGCATGTGATCTAAATGAGTTTATGCAGATTCTAGGAGCCATCTTTTGTGAAAGAAGAGATTTTTAGTGATGATTTTCAGTCAGTTCTTGTGAGAATTTGAGATGTGGGTTCGTTTTTTTTTCTTACACGACATCTGAATGTTGCATCTGGTATTTAAAAATCTGTATCTTAAAACTGTAACTTCAGTTTAAAGTAGATAAATAACTGTTGATCGTTTTTAGGGTACAGGTTGGGGGGTTATAGAGGAATGGAGACAAGTTTTAGTTTAAAGGTTGGTTCTTCTTTTTAGCCTGAAATTTAGATTGCGTTCTGCATAACCAAAGGGGGTTCTGTAAGAATAAAAATTTGCGTTTTCAAAGAGAAAAAATTAAAATGAGGCATTATTGCTTATACATTCAGTTTTGTATATAAAATTTTCAAGAGTTTGATAGTCAAACATCCAGACAACAAGCAAATGCCAAACACATTTGCTTATGCAAACCTAGTTAGGCTGTTTTCAAACCAGTATATTTATAAGTATCTGCTTTGATATCTGGATCTCTTATATTCACTTCTTTCCCTTTTTCTGAGAGTAATAGTGTATTTATCACTGTAGTTTGGAAGAGTTGCATGTTTTACTAAAGTACGAAGGATAGCAACCTTCAAAAACCTTTTTTAAAAAAACAAACAAAGGATACAGGAACTCATTCATTCATGGTTTATGGAGTCATGACCAGAAACTTTTTTTTTTTTTTTTTTTTTTTCCCCCTTGTATTCTGTTACAGATACTCTGTACCCTGGCACACCAGGGACTGATGTATGTTTTGCTAGGCAGCATAATACTTCGGACAATAATAACCAGTGTTTCCTTGGAACCAACGGGAATACTTTGCTACAGCTTAATCCTCAGAAACCAGGAGCTATTGATAACCAGCCCCTAGTAACACAAGAACCAGTGAAGGTAAATGTGTCTGAATCATGTGAATATAAAGAAAGTATCTTTTAGTGTACTTTTATCACAGCTTTTTATATGTTGGGTTTTTTTCAGCTAGTGGATTAATTCTAAATTAAGCTATGTTCAACTTTAAGGCTACTACTGAGTGTTTTGTGAGAAGCATTCAAAATGTTCTTTAAAACTCACAAATGGAAAAGGCATTTATGAAAACACAACTTTTACCTTTAAATGTAGAATAGTTTAATAATTAAACACTTCTGTGTTTTCGTTCTAAATAGAAGAGTTCATTGCTGTTGCATAAAACCGGAAAATAGTTAAACAGTAAAAGAAAGCTGACAGTTTTTCCATTATTCATGCAAACAAAATGTAAAACACAGACCAGCACCATCACTGATGAGCGTAGATCAGGTTTCTCTATGCAGTGTCTGAAGTTGTCGGAGAAGGTGACACAAGAGAAACATATCACAAATTGTCTGCTGGACTGACTTTTTAGAGAAATGTTAAATAGTGAAACTTGAGCATTAAGTAGTGTTACGTTTTAAGTACCATCTTTCAGTGTGAAAAGTTTTTTAACAATTTAAAACTGTCCTGTGTTTATGAACTGAAATCATTGGAGCTGTATATTATTTATTCCACTTGAGATTTAATAAAATCCCTTTTTATTTAAAGGCTGCATCATTAACAATGGAGGGTGGAAGATTAAAGCGATCTCCACAACTGATTGAAGGAAAGGACTACATAATGGTGCCAGAACCAGTTTGGAGAGCACTTTACCATTGGTACGGAGCAAATCTGTCCTTGCCCAGGCCGGTAAGTTGCGATTATTGGCACTTTTTGTTTGCCATAAGCACCAAGATAATGTAAGCAACCTGATGTGTCCCAAATTCTGCCCATTGTACAAGGTAATCATTTATGGTCATCTCCCACTTCATCCAAAATGGATAGTCTAAAGGAAAAGCCTTGAAAAAGCAGTCTCAGAAAGGGACATGCCTAGAAAGTTGTGGATATTTGCCAGGAGATTTGCAGCACAATCCCCAGGAGATATACAACAAGGACAGAAGCGCTGCTCAACTGACCATGATGACTAAAGCAGACACAGTTTAAGAAGGCTTGTCATCAAAACACTCATCTTTAAAAGCTAAGATAAATTTTAAACTAGTCTGCAAAACCAATAATATTAGAACTGGGGCACCTGCAGCTTTGAAAACGCATTTCTTCTCTCTTACAATTTGATGAAGGTGGGGGGGGAAGGTAACAATTGCTGTCCTTCAAGCTCAGTGTCATAGAAAACACCATGTGCAAGGTTGAGTGAAGGTTGAAAAAGCAGAGAACAATAGGTGATCCCGGTGAAGAAAACAGGCGAAGACTATTCTTTGTCAAAATGGTTGCTCAGAAACTCTTCTGAGCTGTAGCTGCCAGCTGCAGGAGTAGGTATTCCTAAAAAGAATTTGCTGTGAGTGTGTCAGCTCTTGAGTACTGCACAGACTAGTGGTGCTGTTCAGCTTCTAATCAAAGGTTTTTTCCGTACAGCATTTATCATAAGCAATCCCACGGGAAGTAGGTGCTAAAACTGAGTTGGCATCTACTGGCTAAGGCTGTGTCAGCATGATTCTGGCCAGCTGTGTTCAGTGCTAAAAGCAAAGACCAGGAATCTCACCCCATACGCTCATCCAGTCAGGCCCCCCTTGGTTTAGTTCTTCAGTTTTTATTTTTGTTGCAGGTATTCTGTATCCTGGCCATGTGAATACCATTTGTTATTTTGAGCAGATCATATATTAAAAATAAATAGTTCCTTTGTGTCATTCTTCTTTTAGTATTATGATAACTGCCTTTTTTTTTTTCCAATGAGTAATTAAAAATTTTACTGGTGAGACAAGTGATGGTCATTCTCATTCTTCAGCACAAAATCAGTAACCTCCAACCTTATGAAATACTCATATGTCAGCAAATAATTCATAGATGCTTAATTCTCACATTTCTTGGATTCAACTGCAAGCAGGAAAGCCAGTGTATCTCACGAAAATTGTGAAAGAGTTTTACAAAACAATTAACATAAGTATTTCTATCGTATAATTAAAAAGTATTCACGGATAGGGAATACCGCATTTTTATGTCAACAATTATTTAATTGCCTGTAGTCACTTAAAGCCTTGTAATAAAATGAGCTAATTAGCAAGAGCCTGTCAAAGATAAGGTTGTATTTGTACTTGTGTGCAAAGTTTTGTTAAAAAATTTTAAAAAAAAGAGGAAAAACTTGAACTGAAATTGACTTTTTGTAACTAACCCTGGTATTTTCTGCATTAAAGCTGTAGTGTCTTCAATTAAAAATTAATTTGGGGCACAATGCAGAATGTACTGCAGAACGTAATTTTCAAATGTGAAAGTGCTATATATTAAATGGAATTGACTTAAGTGGACTAAAAATTAGTCTGTTTTCCCAGTGAGACTTTTTTTTTTTTTTTTGGTTGCAGTTAAACAGCAACATTTCTAAAAGAGAAGCAGTAATTCTATAGCAATAGCCTTTGCTGAATCATATAATTTACTTGCTATTTATTGAGATATCTCTGCTTCTCTGTGTGTAATACTGGAAAACAATTAACAGGCCATAATCATTTGGGGCTAAATCTGGCATGCCTTGAATTAGAAAGAATGAATTTATTAAAAAATAGCCTGATATTGGACTCAAGAAACTTTGATGTCATTTGGTCAGTTGACTCTTAAAAAAACATTGGAAAGCTTCTTCAATTTCTGTTGGGTGTATTTATTCCTTATAGTGGTTGGTTTATTTTCTGTCAGGTAATCTCTTACAGGAGCTACACTTGAAAAAAGTCACTGAGGGGATTTTTTTTTTTTGATGGTAGCAGCAGAGTTTAGGTGGTTGGTGTCACAAAGACTCAGTGTCAGAAATGGGAGAGAATTAGCTGTGTGATTTTTTTTTTTTTTTAATTTTTTTTTTTTTTTTTTTTTTACGATTTGGTCTGTTAGCTGTAGTACTGACAATTATTTTACAGTGAAAAACTCACTGGCTTCTGTTACCCTCCTCCCACACATTCTCCATGGAAACAAATACCTTTTTATGATCCAGAAGAGGCCAGATCTCTTCATACACAAACTAACGTGCTTGAGGTTTTTGCGATAGGGTCATTAGAAAAGAGATTTCTGTTCAGAATGAGAGAATTAGTTTGGGTATCCTGTCTGGAGGGAAAAAAAAAAAAGTATAAATAATTTATGTATAAACTGTCGCTTTTCAGTCCATAATTAAGGAATATTTTGACACTTCGAGTTCAAATTTGACACTTGAATTCTTGAAGACCATTTGATTACTTGCGACTGTGTATACAGGCACTCAGAGTCCTGGTCTCCCACCCTGCAGTAGGGATTGTTATGTTGTTTTTTTTCCAGAAAATGTCATCGCTATGGTTCTTGTTGTAACTGAAGTTTGATACCGTGGCACTTCAGTATGTTATATTGCTTCTCACAATTTAAGCTTAAGCGTTTTCTTCTGCTTCACATGGTCACAAAAATAGTGAACAGTCCTGCCGTTTATGTTTGTCAACGTTTGGGCAGATCTAGATAGCAAAATCTCTAGAAATGGTGACTGGAAAAGCTGCATGTTCTGGGGTACTTTCAGCTTTTTCTGTCAACATAACAACACACGACAGAAGCGGGCTTCGGTCTGTTCTTACAATATGAATGTTTTAATTCAGTCCTGTAGTTCAAAAAGGTCAGAACAAATGTCTTACTCGGCATGCGTGAGTTTTTTCAACGGTTGTGAAACTTGTATATTGAAGTACGTACCGACTAGAATTCACGAGGTTGATTGTAGATTCACAATGTTTCAGGAATTATAAAAATGCTGTGTTGTATGGGAAGCTATGCTCCACTAAAGGTGTTTCCTTTTGACAGCCTACAACTAATAAGCTTCAGAAAGTGCTTAGAAATCAGGAAATTGTTGTTTCTGTGGATATTTGCCTAAGACCCCGTAAGAAGTTCAGAAGATTTCTCGTCTCCTAGTAAAACACAGTTTATTTATTATTTTTTTTAACCACCTGCTTTAATCATGACTTCCTGTTGCTATTGGGATTTCCCACCCGTTTCAAACAGCGGACTCTAAAATGCGTTTTAAACGTCTTTACTAGGTGATCAAAAACAGCAAAACAAATGTGCCTGAACTCGAGTTATTTCCTCGCTATCTGCTCTTCCTGAGACAGCAGCCTGCCACTCGAACACAGCAGTCAAACATCTGGGTGAATATGGGTATGATGAGCCTGAGAATGTTTCCTCAGCATTTACCTAGAGGTAACTTAAGAATGCAGCAAGAATACAAGTGTGCAGTTTCTAAGAAAGCAAGACCCCCAGCTCTAGAAGCTTGCTGCCACTGTGCTTGTACACCAGCTAATCAACTGTAAGGCACGATCAGCATTTGGTAAAGATTTAAAGGCTTTCCTCCTGTCTTCTCTTAAAAGGAAGAGGCATGAGGGGGCAGTTTTGGGGAAGTCAGTTAAGTCGCGTAGTGACTGCAAATAGATTGGTGAGTTGAAAGTGAGAACTGAGCACTGCATAAACTAAATGGCCAAGCAGGGCAGATCTGCTGAGTCCTGTTGGTAGCTGATTTTGCAGCCGTAGCATAGATGAATTTGTGTGTTGGGGTGTGTGTGTGTATCTGATAGTACAGGGGTGTAACAAATGAAATCATTGTTCAAGCCAACTGCATCTGAGTTGGGCAACTGGGCTCTAATGCCCCAAATGATTTAATACTCTTGAGAAAGCGATTGCATTAATGGCATATGAAGACTATTACTGCTGCAATTTAGAAAGACAATTCAGTGGCAAGTGTAAATATCCAGCTAAATTGTGCCGTAATTGCCATGATCGTGGCGGTAACGCTCACCGAAAGACTGTACAAGTAATGGGCTAGAAGAATAATCTTTAGATGGAGCTTCACATTTCAGCTGAAGTGTGTTGCAGGATTCGTTTTCTGTTACCAGTTTGTGTGCACAGTTGCACACCTGCCTTGCACAACAGGTTTGAAGCAATACCTGATGTTCACGTGCATGTGTGTTTGGATACACACCGATATATTCATCCACAGTAACATCTCTCCAGAAATGGGCTCACCTGACTGCTGAAAATTAAATCCTTTAGCCTTGCTAGTGTTAGCCTGTGTTTAAAAATCTCATGCAGATGCTCAATTCTTCACTGCTTTGGTAGAATCTAAAATTTAACGATAGCAGCTGCCTGCTTGATCAAGTTCCGCTGCAGAAACTGCCTGCTACCCAAATTCATTTTTCCTACTTGACCTAATAAAATGGAAAGTGCTTTGTTTGGACATCCTAAAACGCTCAAATTCAAATAAAGAGAATCATCTGATGTGCTAAATTTGATCTTGATTTGGAATTATTTTGCTCCGCACTAATTTATTTGTCCAATCAGTTATTAATCTCATTGAGTTTTCGAAGATGCTTTCTTGCTGTAATCTTACAACTAATCCTCTGATCCCTAATCTCAGAAAATGCTTTTTGGTTTTTTAAAAAAAAAAAAAAAAAAGCAGCAAACTTTGCTTGGTATACTGAAACAAAACTGATGCTTTGCTGACTTACAAGACGATTACAGTATAATTTTTCTCTCTTGTTAAATTGCATGTAATACTGCATCTTTTCATGTGATCCTATTTATTTTATTTTGACAGCGAAAGTAGAACAATGTCACTTCTCTGGTTGCTTAAGTAATGCAGTTGCCCAGTTGGGTTTGGTTGCATAATAAAAGCTTTTCATGAATGTGTTACAGACCTGTCTCTGTGAGAAGTGAGGAACTTCCTAAGTTTAAATTGAAGAAACTCAAAAAATAAAGCGTGTAAAGTTGGTCTCACCTCTTGTGCCAAAGATGTTATAGAAAAGAGCAACCATCTCAACTGATGGAATTGTGTTGCAAACACGGGGCTGTTGAGGAACTCTGGTGAAAATCCTAGGCATCTTCACAGAATGTGTTTTTAGGAATTTAGTTATTAAGAATATTACTGCTGTGAAACTACCAGGCTGATTTCATCTTCACAGAATAGCACTCATCTCCATAGAAGAGCTGAAGCAAAGTCGTGCTAGTATAGTCGGACTGATTTTATTGGGTTTGACTTTTTTTTTTCTTTTACTTACAATATTCTCTCAGAAAGAAAACTCTCATGAAATTTCCAAGTCCTTTATTTTGAAAATTACTATCGTTTCTGATTCTTTTTAAGAGGAAAAAAAAAAAAAAAAAAGAT